CCTTGGGATTATGTGGCTGTATGGCCCATTCTTTTCATTCATCAACTATTGTTCTGTTTTTTTGGTGCTTTGTGTATGTAAGCTTTCTGGCATAGTCTCCAAGTTTGTTGACATCCCTTCATGATTATTAGATCTTTGTGATTGGTTTTTCCCGTCCCCTCTAGCTTCAAACATTTTTTGGGAACCTTCAACATTAATTAAGATGTCATTCACAGCCGAATTTTGGTCTCCAATTTCAATTTGCCGCTTAACCTTCCAACGGTTATGTGCTTGTTCATCCCTTTTTGCATCATCCATCTCCACGTCCGCCCCCTTTTCCACGTCATCATCTTCCATCTTTCCGTCAGACATGTTCCAGTTTCCCCTAGTCCCACCACTACCTTGGACTGACCCGTGTAGCTCACCTCCCAGTTCATTGTCTAGAGACCAAGATTCTAAACAATCCTCATCCAAGTCACTAAGTTCCTTAAACACATGACCAGATTTCATTGGAAAAAATGCCATTTGTAGCCTCTTCTTCCATAACTTTGATTGTGAATGGCTCCCCATTAACTCTAATATTCATGGTTTTTATATGAAGTCCATCATTGTAATGGTGATCAGTAGTCTTCCAATATCGAACCTTTTCTTTTTAATAGTGTTATCATCCAACGTGATGAATTTTCCCCACACAACACCTATTGTGGTAAAGAAATCTAGCCCCCAAGCATGGGCTAGAACCCCTTGGCATCATAACCAGAGGAACCTCTCCCTTGAAACCATTGTTGGTTCCCAAGGTTTTACCTCTATAAACCACTGTCAAAGCCATTCTGGTGCAAGCTCAACTAAATCCTTAATCTCCTCTTTGTCTCCTCCTTGTTTCCTCCTTCTAATAGAACAAGTTGTCCTCATATTGCTTGAATTTTACAAGAGAAATAGCCTTCCATAAAGAACTTTTCCTATAATGTTGGGATGATTTTGACTGAGTGAGCTGTGCCGACATAACATCCTTCGAGCCATGAATAGTCCTTCTTCACGTTGAACTCCAAGATATCCTTCACATGCTCCTTATCTCTTGGTATCCAAACCTATGCTAGAGGTCTTTTTCTATCACCCCTTTGCTGCTGTTCATACATTGTTTTCCCGTTTGATCCCTTTTTGTACTCTAGTTTTGCACCGACCTCCATATTTCCTTTTACAACCTCAGCAAAGGTTCTCTACCCCCTTTCTCCTCCCTCTTTACTATGCCCTTGATTTGCTTTCTTAACGTCTTCAAATTCCTTAAACTTTGGTCTATTGACCCAAAGTTTGAAATCGCCAACACGAATTTGGTCCAATTATTGCTCTTGCACCCATTCATCTTTAACCTCCAAGAATCTGACGAAACCAAACTTGCTCCCCCTCTTTGATTTCCTCGATGGATTGTATATGGCCAATACTCTTCCATATTTTCGAAAAGTTTGCCACATGCTTTCGTAGCTCCAATCTTTAGGAAAGTTGGTAAAGAAGAACACAGTGGCTTGATTGTACACTCGTCGATCATATCCCCATACATCTTGTTTCCTCATTCTGTTCCAGCTTGACGCACTCTCCTCATGTTCTTATTGGTTCCCTCTCCCATTTCTGAATAGCTCCCAGCTCCGTGCCGTCCTTCTTCTGCATGTTCCAAAGCCGTCAAACCGTTCTCGCCACTCTTGTTCTCTCCCTCTCATCTCTCTTTCTTCTTTGGAGTAACTCACTTTATTAAATGAATAAATATATGTAATATTACAAATAAATTTTTTATTGTTCGTTAATATTATAAATAACTATTATTTTTTAATTTTGTTAGGATGAATGGAATAAAAAATAGTTGGAGGATTATCTGGAACTTCTCCAAAGAGTTTAGGATGAATAATGCTATTAACCAAAATTTTAGAAATTAAAAAAAATGAAATTTCTGGGACAGACCTTCCGATAATTTTATGCTATAATTTTACCATAGAATAGGCATTTTATTCAATCAAATCAACCATTGTACTAATACGTTGTTAGAATCATTTTTTAGGGAGAAAAAAAAATTTATATATAATTAATATAATTCATTAATTTGATAATATGTTAACTATTTTATACATTAAATTGTTAAAAAAAATTTAAAAGGAAAAAATTTATCTCTATCAATGACCTAAATAATTTAATGGTAATGTCCTCTCACTAGAAATAAGAAATCTTGAATTTGAATAACATATTGCATGGATGGAGTGGAAAAAGAGATATAAAAAAATTGGTTTTTGTTATGCAGTTAACATTAAAAAAAAAAAAAAAACCTATCTCTTATCATATAACTAAACAAAATTATGAATGACTCTATCCACTTCTTCTATGTTAATCAATTCAAACAAGTTATACATTTGACGGTACTTAAGTACAAAACCATTTTCCACCAATCAACAAAATGCCTGAAGTGGAAACCATTGACACCGTACCTTGCAACTTTAATAAATCCAATCCATTATTCCCACCATACACAGGTGAAAGCTTGCATTTAGCTTATTATCTTAATAAACTTAAAATTTTTAACTTTTTATCTTATATTATAAAGTTTTTAGTCTCTAAACTTAAAAGTTTAAAAATTTAACCTTTAAACTAACAGAATCCGTTAACCTTTCGTTAAATTAAGAATAAAATATTTACATGATTAGTACTTAAAGATAAAAAAAAAATGTAATAATTTAATTCCAAAAGTTTAAAAATTAAAAATAATTAATAAATTAAAAATAATTAGTGAATGACTTTATTGCATACATGAAAATATTATTAGATATCTATAATCAAATTGAGTGATTAACGAAAAAAAAAAAAAAAAAAAAAAAAAAGATTAAAGAAAATTACTTCGCTATATTCTTCTAGTCTCTTAAATTTGCTATATTATTTTAGTCTCTTGAATTTGCTATATTCTTCTAGTCTCTTTAATTTACTTCGCTATATTTTTCTAATCTCTCAAATTTGCTTTATTATTCTAGTCTCTTGAATTTTTTGTCTTAACTCAATTAAGTAATTTTCTTTTAATTTTAGTCAGAATTGTTTCTTTAAATTGAGCTAATCACTTGATTTGATTATAGATATTTAATACTATTATAGTATACGTAAGAGAGTTATCTATTAATTCTTTATAGGTTACTAATTTTTTTAATTTTTAAACTTTTGAAACTAAATTTTTATGTTTTAAATTTTTGAAGACTAATCATGTAAATAATTTATTCTTATTTTAATGAAAAATTAATGGATTTTGATAGTTTAAGAGTTAAAATCTTCAAACATTTAAGTTTAAAG